TAATGCTGCTAATGCTGCTAATATCACTGTAAAGGTCAGGAAGGGTGGAATTAAATGTCAGGCCTAATCTGAGGCGATGAAAACAAACAGGAAGCTTTGACTGAAAGTGAATTTCTAATGTGATGGATGAATGTAGACAGCAAGAAAGTGTCTGACATATACAATATGGAGCCTCAGTGATCACATTAGCTTGTTTGGGTGAAGAGAGGAAAAAAGAAATGTACCGCTGTAACACAACTAATTGATTCTGGCAGGTCAGAAGAATAAAACACAAACAATTATAAAGACACGAGAAGAAAAGAAGAAGGAGGATGAGATGAAATTTGACTGTTCTGAGAGGATTCATTAATCTGGGCAGGAAGAAGCATAGCAAATAGCACAGCTACATAGAAAATATGGCTGCACATATATACTGCTGCAGAAAGGCTGAAGGTTTTATAGGAGGAAAGCCCAGGACGCACAGACGAAAAAGGCTCATACTGCTATAAAGTTTCAACTGACTGATTCAGTCAGCTCATGTTTCTGGTAAAGCAGAGGAAAAATACTGACTAGCATTAAAATGCCAAGCAAAAATATTCAAATGTGTTGACATGACACTTGAAACACTTTAAAGTGGCATGCTTTGATTAAAAACAAGCTTCCAAGTCAATTATGCAAAGCATGACAGCTGTCCTCACTCTAAAAAAGAGAACTTTATTTTGGTATAAGCTTAGAATTACTTTGACTTTAGGAGTTAGTTTTTTGGATTTGTTTTTAAAATGACTGGTGAGTGAAAGCACAGTACAGTGGTGAGCACTCACACATTTGGTTGTTTGCTGTATACCACACCACACCTTATGTGGGTATAGGCCTTCAACAAGTGCCACTGTCTAACCTTTATATTAGTTACTTCCTGTTTTACTTTGGTACTCATTTCTCCCTTATACTTTTTATTCAGTTTTACAGTGTGAGTGTAAAGGGTGCAGACAGGAAGACACAGACAAGATGTTGAAAAGAAGGTCAGTCAGTAACATAACAGCAAAGGAAAATCAAGCACAACATGAACCATGAATCAAACCATATTGTCAAAATAAAGATCAAAGCTTCATGTTATCCTTTAACTGAACATTTTATTTATCAAAGCACGCTGAAACATGAATCCATCTTGAAGGAAAAGCCCTCAGGAGACAGTTTGATAGTATGTTTAGTCAGATAATATCACTACAGACTAGTGATGGTGGACATATCTATATCATCTTTGCACTTAAAGTAAACTTTCTTTGCAATTTAGTGGATTTTGATTGGACTTTTTTTAATTCACACAGACATAAAGTCTTAATTTTAATATGACGGTGGACCGTTTATAGCAGCAGGGTTTGACAGCCCTCAGGCAGGTGTGTCTGAGGGTTGGAAACACAGGTAACTGAAGTGACACCATCATATCTGAGACAGCTGTGTCAGAAAGGGTATCAAGAGAAAGAAGTCAATTTCATAGCCAGACGTTTGTCTGACCAAGTGACAATATATAAAAATGAATGTACAGTTAATTCTAGGAAGCACACATATATTTAATTCCAAGTGTTTATAATTAAATTATTATGTTATCATTTATTATTTTTACCAAGACTATAGAACAATGCAGAGGCATTTGTGAGCACTACAGTGTTTCTTGGCAGTGATTAATACAATATGGTCTCTGTTACCCTTCACTCGACACATCTTTTTGGAATTAAAAAAAAAACTGAATTATGACAGAAAATCTCAAATGCAGCACAGCACCACTGGCTCCCACTACATTCTTATGAAAAAGTTAAAAATATTTTAAAGACAAACCCTGGCTCTCATTTGGAGCTCGCTTCACTTAATCCATAATGTCTGAGTAAAATTTAAATCAGATTTAGAGCAATTTCCTTCTGAATGCAAATTGCAGAATTCTGCTGTGCCCACAGATAAGACATCTTATACACCACTGGAAAGCCTCCAGACCTTTTCTGAATTCTGGGCTGTATACTGAAGAGTTCTTTTATGCAAAACACACTGGACTGGAGGTCACATATTTGGCTGCCATCTCGCTGTGTGTCTCTGCTTCAATCTACCACTATCTGCATCTGGAACAAACTCATGGTTATTCAGTTTGCACTTGAGATGCAACACTTCATTTGCAACCCATGGACAATCTTTGGAGCAACATCCCTTTTCAAAACTTGCACATAATACCAAAACCTAAAATTTTCTGGACATTTCTAGCTACTAGTTCTTCTTTTCATTACTTTTGATCATTTTGTTTAATTTTACAATAAAAAACAACAACAACAACAACAACAAACAGACAAAGTGGCAGTGAGGAATCTAAAATTCAAATATATAGATTTCTTTGATTTATTGCGCATCTGAGCTGACTCTTCATCTCCTCTCAGCATTTGAAAAATGGCTTGACAACACTTTAATTTTCATCTTTTAATAACATGAGCTATCATACATATGTTTTCAGCTTTTGCCACCACCTCCACGTTTATAGTTCTTCAACTAAAGGTTCAATTTGAATTCCATTAAGTTCCTCTTATCCAGCAATTATGACCACACGCGGCGTTAAAGTGGGCTGGAACGACCTGGAATGATGTTCCAACACCTTCAATTAATGCACAATTAAATCTGATAGGCAGATTAATGCATGATACTGCCAAGCCAGTTAATTTTTCATGTGTTGAAGCCTGGCATTACCTCCAGTTGATGGCATGGTAAGAGGTGCACTAAATCATTTTAAAAGGCAAGGACAGCCCAACAAGTATTGTTTTGTAGTTTTGGATATTTTTTTCTATTTGATCTAAACATAATGTGTTGCTTTATATTTAGCAAACATCTCAAAAGCTGAGGTATACTAATTTTGTGTGACTAAAATTTTGATGAATAGGCAGGTTTAGTAGTGTTCATTGCAGACTAAACTGGTTGGTTTACAGTATTGTGATAAGGACTGCAGTAATGCACTATGCTGGACTGGTGCAGAGCAGGCTGTGATGTTCATGGTCAGTGTTAAGCTACATTAAAGGGTAGCAGACATCAAGTGGGGGTATTTTATCTTAATTTCAGGAGCGGGACCACACCCACATCCATGCCCCATCTGCTCTTCAGTCTATATATGCCCCTTCACCAATACCTGCTTTTCATACCCCCCTCCCCCATCTTCTTTTCTTTTACATGTAAAAGTACATGGGGATCTGCCTGGCCCGGGAACTGCTGCCAGTCCCCTCCGAGGCCTTCCCCAAACCGCAGCATCAGTCCACAGTCCATCACCCATTGTACATCTCAACTGAGGGTGTGGTCCCAGCTAGCGAATTTATCTTTAAACTGATGATGCAATTTGATTTACTCACAGAACACACAGACCTCTAAAAAGTTTTACACACAGGATGCATTAAGTTTTTGTCACTATTTTGTGCATTAAAAATGCAGCCGTTTACACTGACCTGTAGTTCGTGCTCTAGTACTGAATATACAATGATATAGAAATAGTTAATTAATACTTCATTACCTCCGATACACAGCTAGAGACTGCTCTGGATTAATCGGCTCTCTGAAATGATCTGTTTGCCTCCTCAGATGTGGTCCCAACTGCCAATACAGCTTCAAATCTGGGCTCAAACCATGAAATACTCCGTGCTGCTGTCTTCTCTTTGTGAAACCAGAATCTCAGTTTTTCAGTCTCGGGTTGCAAAAACGTGACGTGTGTGTATATACATTAAAAAAATCCTGAACTTTATGTTGTTTTTTTTCTCCTAACACTTCCAGTGTGTAAAAGTCTTTATACTAAGTTTATGCTGTATAGAAATCCTGATAGCTTCTGTAATGTCTGGTTATATCTTTTTATATTCGACTAGCTAACAAACACACGGCAACTAATCAGAGCTACTCTCAATGTTAGGATGCCACTTCAACCCCTGAGTAATTTATACAGAAAAACTACAAAACGTTGACTTTTAAGTGACTCAAAAAACTACAACAAGAAGACTGTTACCACTTCACCTTCTTCCAACTTTAGCTTTATCTTCAGTTCCATTATGTGCTGATTTCATTGAAGTCATTAAGTCATCTTACCACCTCATTCAAAACTTCTTTCAAACTTGTTTCAACTTCAGGCTCAGCTTCAGTTACATTATTCCACTCATTTAGCTGTTAAACACGGAGGACAAAACAGTGTTAATCAATTCAAAAATAATAATAAAAATAATTGTCATGCAAGCTGATAGAAGTCCTTTCACTGCCACTTACAGCTTGCATTTTAAACACTGTAGTTTAGTTTCATGTCTGAGCTGCAGTGCACCAAGGTCAGCTGTCACTGCCATACAAATCCATTCAGAAGCTTCAAAGAATTAACTACAGGGCATTTAAACTATTTTATGTCTGTAGTGAGGCAATCACATTGTTTACACTTTTACTGTAATTCAACCAGTTATATAACAGAGTCTAAAAATATAAAGGATGAAGGGACAAAGTTGGCATTGAACTTCAGTACTTTGAAATCTTACTCTGATGCGTGTAAAGACAAACCCTTTTCTCCTTTAATAAAAATACCCTCTGACTGTGCTTAATGTCTACAACTGCCATGAACTGGCTGAGGTTCAATTCCCAGACCTATTCTCTTTGTAGCCCCCAACACGCAAAAGGAAAAGGAGGACAGTGTGCTTTCTTTGCCCCATATGAGTAAAAATTGATGAGCCTAACAGTAATTGTACAAAGGACAAAGAGTTGGCTGACTTCCCTAAAATGAGACACCCAGGAAGTGGAAGCTGTTTTTCCTTTCCTAATTTGGATCGGCAGAGGGATGGTAAGTACACAGTGTGGTTTTTATTTAATGAAAGCTGACAAGAAATCAGACTTCAGGAGAACAAAGTATTTCGTCCCAACTTTACTTCATCTCCACACAGTCAGAGAGCTGCGGTGCACACTGAGCAGATCCTGGCAAGACAATGAAGGAGACGAGCCCACATAACGTCAGAGGAAGGACAGCACGTCAGCAGCCTTACCTAGTTTAGGCAGAGAGTACTGGACTTTGAAGTAGTCCTGATAAAATCCGAGGAGCCTCTTAGTAATGTGGAGGGCGTAGTCCCCTGCTCCGCTCAAAATGGCATCTGGCCGGGCATAGAGACGGATCTGAAGACAAATACAGAGGAAGAAATGGAATTAAGCTGATTTTAATTGAGATGGATCTAAAAACAGATACAGAGAAAGGAAATTGGAATTAGTGTATGCTCAGCTCTACAGAGAACAAAATGAAATTAAGCCACTTTTTTTCAAATCTATACAGAAAAGGAAATTAAATTTGACAGATACAAACAGGAGAACGCTGCGTGTATATTAAACTCTTCAGGGGAAATAATACAATCAGAGAGAGTTTAAGTTTATATCTGCAGAAAGGAAAAATTATATTTGAGAGATGTTTTCTTCGAAATTTGCGAAAAAACAAATGGAATCAGGTCCGTGTTAGGTGGGTCACATCTACAGACAAAATAAGTGAATGAGGTCGACTTCATATTCTGCTCTCCAGACAGAACAATGGAGTCTGGTTGATTTGGTTCAAATATAAAACAAGAAAAAAATTGATTTACAGCTGTGAGCAAGAATATCGACTGTAGATGGAAGCAAAAAAGAATACAAGAATGTTAAATGTTCTGCTTCAGGTGGATTCCAGTATTTCACACAGTCTAATGATCAGTGTGGGCTCATTATTGGACAGGGGTTGGAGCAGCTGCATCATTTATTTATAAAGGACAGTTCACCCTAAATCAAATTTACATATTTTTCTTTGGACATGTAGCAATATTTATTCATTCAGACTGTTTACTCAAGCCCCCCGCATTTCTTTATATTTTGTGTCCAGGGAGCCAGACATTTTGCAACTTTTAAAGTGCTCCTGAGTAAGAGTTCTGCAGGCTTTTTGGTCTTTTTTTTCGACATTTTTATAGGAAAGCAGGCATTAAAAAAGGAATGAACCAGTGTTGTGTCTGCACTTAACAGAAAATTGATTAAAGATTGAATTTTAAGTTGCATATGTAGTTTGTTATTAATAGCCTGTCACATAAACAAAAACATAAAAAAAATATCCCCATTTCTTTAGCTGAATTGATGACAAATGCCAAAGATTACACAGTTTGAGTGGAGTAAAATAGTAATTTTATACCAACAAAGTAATCCTCACTGGGAAGCCTGAATGGGCTATTAGCCAAAAAATTCCTATCCTTCGGTGCAAAATAGGGAAAACTGGACAAGTGGAGAACAAAAGTAACAACCCCCTTTGCTAGGAAAATTTCAGCAAAGACCTGACATGGGACCCCAGAGTGGCATCTGGACTTGAACCATGGCCACACTGGAACTGAACTTAAGATGAAGGTCAGCAGTTCTTAGCTGGTGGTCAAAACTAATAGAATTATAAATGCAGTGGTCAGGCTGCTGACCTCTGAACCACTGCAGGATGACATGCTGACAAAGTGTGTGTGAGAGACACTCCAACTCATCACTGTTGCTGGGATTAAAATGATCATCTGCTCTTTCGAAAGTGAATCTATTGTTTGGTGAAGATGGCAATTTGTACTTGAGAAGAGGTTCTTTTTTTGTGCCTCACAGCTCCTGACAAGCTGTGGGCAAAAGCAAAATCACAGCTCTTTCCCCGTAGAGCTGTGACAGCAGCTTCACTTCTGTCTTTTTTTTACCCCCTTTAACATTGCACACCTTCACCAAAACACAGTGTAACATATTGACTGACTTCTAATGAAATCCATTTTAATTCATGCAGTATGGACTCGAACACTTGTACGCTCATCTGTACACAAATCCAAAGAGATCTAGGTTGAAGTGCTGAGTTTCTCAGTGCTTTGGCTTCACTCATTTAAGTATTACTTGCCCTTATACATCAATCAGCATAACATTATGACCAACTGGCTATTATTGTCGGTCTCCCGTTTGCTGCCAAAACAGCTCTGACCAATTGAGGCATGGACTCCACTAGATTGCTGAAGATGTGCAGTGGTATCTGCACCAATATGTTAGCAACAGATCCTTTAAGACCTATGAGTTGCAAGATGGGGCCTCCATAAATCAGACGTGTTGGTCCAGCTCATCCCAAATGCTAGACTGGACTGAGACCCGGGGAAGTTGGAGGCTCATGATTGTGCTCCTCGAACCATTGCTGAACCATTTTTGCTTTGTGGCAGGGCGCATTATCCCTGTTCTATCAAAGGGTGTACATGGTCTTCAACAGTGCTTAGGTAGGTAGTACATGTTTTTTTTTTTTTT